AGGAAACTGAGACTCAGAGAGGGAATGTTGCTGTCTAGAGACTCATGGCAGGAAAGAGATGAGGTCGGAGCTCAACATGGGTCAGTGCAAGGCTGCTGCCCACAGCTCTCTCCATGGGCTCTCACTGCCTTTCCCTATGTAGTCCAAGGCTTGTCCTAACCCTAGGCTTCCTGCCTTCCAGGTAAGTGCTTGGGGAGCCACACCCTGGCTGAAGAGAAGGGAGAAAGAAGGGAGGGAAGAGCATTCCGAGAACCTCCTCATTTGGTAAGTTTTCCAACTGCTGTGGGAGCCATTCCTGGCTGGCAGGGGGAGATGTCATCAGGGTGACCTCCTGTGTTTCACGGATTCATTAAAGCCCATGTTCTGGGGTAAATGATTGCTTTCCCCCAGTCCTGCTGAAAAGAAAATCGATCGCCTCCTTGTAGATTTAAAACGGGACAGTTGGCAATTAGAAAACACTTCCCCAGGCAGGCGCTGGGGAGAGGTCTCATTCCAACTCCCATTCCCTCTGCCCAGGGCACTGAGGCTGGACTTGGGGCGTGCAACAAGCTATCGAAGTCCTGGGCCGAGCTCCATGGGGTCCCCTTGGTCCTAGAGTCCCCCTCTCTGTGTCTACATTTCATCGGGGCCTCCTTTCTCCCCGCTACCCCCAGCCCTACCCCCACCCTTCCACCCTGTCCCTGCCCTTGTCAGCTAATGGATTTTTTTTTCTCTGTACTGAGAGATTTACTAAACAACTGAACTAGGACGCATTAAGTCTGTGGGTTTGGAGGTTTGTTTTAGAGCAATTCTCGCCCGGAGAACTGGCTGCTGAAATTAAGATGCATTCTTTCTCAGCAAATATTGATTTCAACTAGAAGCAAATCCAAGAAGCTCACTGCTTGCTGGACTTAAGTGCTGGGAGCCGCCGTTTACACTCTGGAAGGGGTCACTTAGGTGCACCCCACCTGAGACCCAGGAGATGATGGGGAAGGAGAAGATTCAGAGCTAAGCAGAAACTGAAAACTCACCCCAAAACTAGACCAAGGTGAACTTCCCTTGGGTCCTTAGTCATGATCCTCTATTGAGCTGATGATCCTATACATCCTATAGAGACTGTTTACAGACCCTGTGTTCAACCCCATTCCAGGAAGAACTGGTAAAGCTTCAGTGGCAAGTTTCTGGCTTCTGGCTTCCCACCCAGGCTGGGTCCCAGAGCTTGCTTCCTCCAGGAACCTTGGCCGAACTCAGTCCAGATTGCCTCTCTTCTTCCCAAGTCAACAAAGGGGTGTGGAGGGGTATGTTCAGCCCAGGAGGGCACACACTCTCTTCCACATCTTCTTCATCCCCTTGCACTGCTTCTGTTTGTCTCCTGATCTCTCTACATCTCTATCTTTAACACCACACACAGCACCTAGAAAACAGAAATCAACTGGACTAATTTCTTAATCACATTCTGGAACCTGTCGATTGTGGTATTTGGGTACCGGCTTTTCCTCTTGAGGTCTTGGTTTGACAAGGTTTGACAAGGCAGAAAAATAGGATTGATCGTAAAGGATGTTCACAGCTTCTGAGAACAAATTGGAGCAGCTGTGACTGAACTCTAGATCACCTCCCCACCCCTCCCCAGCCTCCACCCCCCACCCTGCCAACCAACTTCCTCAACACTTGGCAAAGGTTCTTGATGGGTCACCCATTAAAAAAAGACCCAGTCCTAGGATCCTCAGGGAAGGCAGCACAATTCTCAGGATATATGACAAATAGACATAAATAAAAGAAGCAACCTTCTTGAGAGAGGGGGTATTGAGACACTTCCCTAAAGAAGACCTAGGGGAGGTGGGATTGGAATAATAGTACAGAGGGTAGGGCATTTATCTTGCATGTGGCCAACCCATGTTCAATTCTCAGCATCCCATATGGTCCTCCCAAGCACTGCCAGGAGTAATTCCTGAGTGCAGAACCAAGAGTAACCTCTGAGCATCGCCAAGTGTGACCCAAAAACAAAAGAAAAGAAAAGGAAAGGAAAGGAAAGGAAAGGAAAGGAAAGGAAAGGAAAGGAAAGGAAAGGAAAGAAAGAAAAGGAAAGAAAGGAAAGGAAAGAAAAGAAAAGGAAAGGAAAGGAAAGGAAAGGAAAGGAAAGGAAAGGAAAGGAAAGAAAGAAAAGGAAAGAAAAGGAAAGGAAAGGAAAGGAAAGAAAAGAAAAGAAAAGAAAAGAAAAGAAAAGAAAAGAAAAGAAAAGAAAAGAAAAGAAAAGAAAAGAGTATCTAGGGAAGGAAGATCAGCCTGAGAGATGTTCTGCATTCTGAATCATATGCCACAGTGCACAGCTAACAGATAAATATGAAGCAGGCCTTGTAATTGAGAGTATGAGGTGCTGGTGAGGATTAGAACTCCCACACATGGCTTGGAAGGAAGAAGGATGTACAGCCACTCTGGGAAACAATTGGTAGTTCCTTATACAGTTCAACAATAGGGTCTGGAAACACCTTCTCAGAGTTGGGATTGACAAGCTCCCACCCACACCCCCATAATTCTCAAAGATCCGGAACACATGCCCATGCCCCACCACTTCCATGTAAGCTCATCTACTGGCCTTGTTCCAGAAATTCATAAATTAATTTCAAAAGAGATCACCTAGCTGCAAAAATTTCTCAGACACTGATTTCTACCTGAGACCTCCAGGGTGCTCTCAGAGAAGGCTGGGCCAGTTCCTACCCCAAAAAACCCAGACAGCCACTACCACACTCCAAAGCTGCTGCCATATATGTGGCCCGAACTGTCCAATTAAATTCTCTGAATTTTCTGGAGTGTACGGCCACAGTTGTAGCCATGCAACTGCTCCAAAATCTGAAACACTTAATCCCAGTAGGAACACATCAGATTGGATGGGAATGTAAAGCAGAAGCGAAAATGATCTCTACTAACAAAAAACACTAACAAAGAAGGCTTAATTTGCAGTAACTTAATTTGCTTAGTACACGATCATACAAGGACTTAATGGCCCCCCGGGTGAGATGCAACAATTTTCACAAATGTTCCCCTATGGAAATAATTTTTGATCAACCTGTTAGCCATTTAATGATAACAATATAAAATAAATTATTATGGGCCTAATACAGGGGAAGGTTTGAATGATGGTTGGGAAAATTGAGACAATGGTGAACGGAGGTGACAGTGCTGGGGGCATTGGAGTTGGAATATTGAATGCCTGTAACAAATCATCACAAGCAACTTTGTAAACCATGGTGTTTAAATAAAGTGGGGAAGAAAAAAGTAGCTGAAGATAGGGACTGGAAAGATAGTACAGCAGGAAGGGAACTTGCCTGGCATGAGATCACCCAGGCTTTAATCCTGGCATCCCATATAGTTCCAAAGCCCCACCAATAGTGATCCCTGAAAGTAGAGCCAGGAGTAAGCCTTAAGTGTAGCCAGGTGTAATCCCAAAACAACAACAAAATAAAATAAAGTTCAACACACTTACCACACCAGCCAGTCATCTCACTTTAAGGTTTTACCCAAGAAAGCCTACGGGTCTAGGAGTGGGTCTTATTTTATGGGTGCCCCATCAGGAAACTTTGCCAAGTGTTGAGAAGTTTGATTGGGAGTGGAGTATGGATGTTATCGAAAGCTCAGTCCTATATGTCAGCTGGCCAAGTATGGCCTGCAGTTGTCCTGGGCCTCTGAACACTGTTTGGGTGCCCCCCCCAACACACACACACACACACACACACACACACACACACAAAAGAAAGGCATGTGTTCACACACAGCCTGACATTTAATGCACAAAGCAGCTTTATTATTAATTGTAAAAATCTGGGAATGACTAAATGTTCTTCAGAGTCTCAGTGGAAAAGCAAACTATGGACAACACACTGCAAGAAAGCAGACAAGGATCATCCAAGAATGCCAAATGCTGCTTAAGGACAGATGTCTGGCTAGAAAGGCTGTGTTGTAGATGTCCACTGATAGGACCTTCTGAAAAGGGTCTAAATCTAGCAAGGTAGAGAATAGATCCAAAATGACAAGGAGAGGTTCTGGGGGAGAGGTTGGTGACAGAAGAGTAGCACCAAGATTTCACTGCCTCTCTGTGTCACAATTGTGGAGGAAATGAATGTGTGACGCTATGCATTTGTCTAAATCCACAGGATGATATGCTAGGAAGAGCACACTTCGCTTAAATCTACACACAAACACATTTTGCAAAACAAATGCTCAAGAAAGTTGTTGACTTGGCCATATGGACATAGCTCTGTTCAGATGGCAGCCCCAGATCTATCCAGTCATAGCACCCTGCTACAGCACCCTCTCCCCTACCCCATCATGCATCTTGTGGGTCTAGCAGGGCCATGGAAACTTTTTCAGGGGGAGTAAAGAAACATTCAAGGTTCTGGATCATTGATTGTCCTCTTCTCTTCAAGGACTTTCATGGCCCCTCCCCACAGATTTGTGTGGTTAGACTGAAGCAGGAGAATCTGGGGGGCTGAGGGCTGGGGTGAGGACAGCCTGGGCAGACTTGAGGCAACCCTGGATCAGCTTTGAAGGGAGCTGTGTGCCTGGTGGCAGAGGTATTTTCCTTCTACTTTTCCTAGCTTGAATTCCAGGATAGAAAGGCAGGCAGGGAGCCAGGGGAGCAGCTGCAGTAAGTGTAGAAAGAAAAACGAATCTCCATAAACTCCCCTTGCCACAGAGGAGGATAGGGGTTAGGGGTCCTCAGCTGTAGTTCCTGATTGTCAGCCCCATCAGTCAATAGCATCTTTACTTACTTGCCCCATGATCTGGGACAAATAACTGTTGGTTTCTGCTTAAGTGGCTTAGAGAAACCAAAGATATAGTGAAGGAGTTTAAGCACTTGTTTTGCAGGTGGCCAATTCCCAGATCTCCATGCTTTGCCTTATATCACTGAGAATGATGCCCAGTGGTGTACCCCCAAGTGCCACCAGGTAGAGCTCAACCTGAAGCCCCCAAAAAGGTGGATTATAGTTTTGCTTTAACTTCTTCATCTTAAGAATTTTAAACTAGTGCTTACTTCATCAGCACATATACTGTAATTGCAATGATACAGAGATTAGCATGGGCCTGCACAAGGATGGCATGCAAATTTGTGACATGTTCCATATTTTTCTGGGTGAACATGGAGACTATTATGCTGAGTGAAATGAGTCAGAAGGACAGGGGCAGATATGAAATGATTGCACTCATTTGTGGGATATTAAAGGGAAAAAACATAATATTATACTAATACCCAAGGACAGTAGGAACAAAGGCCAGGAGGATTGGTCTATGGTCGGAAGCCGGCCTCAAGTGCTGGGGGAAAAGGCAGGTGGGATAGAGAAGGGACCACTATGACAAAGGTAGTTAGAAATGATCCCTCTGGATAAGAACTGTGTGCTGAAAACAGGTAAAGGAACAAACATGATAACCTCTCAGTATCTGTATTGCAAACACCAAAAGAAGAGACAGAGACAGAGACAGAGACAGAGACAGAGATAGAAAGACAGAGAGAAGGAAAGTGCCTGCCATAGAGACAGCTGGTAGGGGGTGGCAGGAGGGAAGGTGGGGACATTGGTGGCGAGAAACGTGTACTGGTGGAGGGGTGAGTGTTGAAATATTGTATGACTGAAACCCGGCCATGAACAGCTTTGTAACTATATATCTCAAAGTGATTCAATTAAAAAATAACAATAAAATTAAATTAAAAAAAAGAAATTGCAGGCAAGTAGAATATTATGTTGGATTTAATTCCTCCATTCAGGACCACCAAATGAAAAAAAAAAGAAACTAATTGTGGCTACATCAGAAGATCACAGTGATTTTGTATTTGTTTCAGGACCATATCCAGGCTCTGTGCTAAGAGAGCACTCCTGGTTCTGTGCTCAGGGATCACTCCTTCCTGTCTTCAGGGGACCATAGGGGACATGCAGGACAGGGGACCGAACCAGGGTTAGCTGCATGCAAGCAAGTGTGTTATCTGGCTGTACTATCTCTCTGACCCCAATGGAGATTATGAAGTGAGTTAATATTTGTTCATTCACTCAACAAATATTGGTGTCTCCTTCATTAGGTCCCTGTTGCTGCTTTATGTGCTATGGACACAGGTGAAAATTCCTATTTTTCCTGGGGATGACTTGAGGGAACAGAGGCAGAAGTAAGACCGCGAGGATCTACACAGTGATGAGAAGGTGGCGGAAGGGACACGGTAAGGATGCAACACAAATATCACACAGGTGTTGGGGAGCGAAGGCTCTGCGAGGTGGTGGCACTGGAGCAGAGAAGGCAGCGAAGCTGAAAGAAGGGAAGGTGAGGTAGGGGGTGCCTCCTTCCTGCAGTGGGAACAACATGAGCAAAGACTGAGGCAGCATGTGCGTGAGCATGGCAATAACCAAGAGACCTGCATGGTCTCCAGGAGAGCAAAGAGTCAAAACTGAGATTAGAGGTGAAGGAAGGGATCACAGGATGGGGCTGCATGGCCATTGGGTGTGCTTTAGCTTTTCTTCTGCATAAGGTTAGAAGACGCTGAACACCTCTGAGGAGAGACTACACCAGACTCACACTTTCAACGGATGTCTATGGGTCTGGAGAGAGTGCGGATGTCAAGGAACTTGCTTTGCATGCAGCCAGAATGGATTTGATCCCTGGCACCACATATGGTTCCCTGAACAATGCCAGGAGTGAGCCCTGGGCACAAAGCTGAAAGTCAGCCCTGAGTACCACCCAGTATGGCCCACCCCAAACAAAGGAAGCAGAAGGGTCTCTCCAGGGGCAGAGCATGGTTCACTCAGGCTGAAGCATAAAGCATGCTTCCTAGTCCCTAGAGCACCACTGACTGTGCCTGCAAAAAATGAATAAATAAATATGAGAAAAGGATCTCTCTGGGCAATTTGCAAAGAATATGCAGTAGAGAAGCAGGGGCGGGCAGGGACCCCCACTTCGGGAAGTTATTTTGTAACCCAGAGGAGAGAGAATGTTGACTTGATCAAATAAAATACACATACACACACACTACACACACATACACACATACACTACACACACTACATTACACACAATACTGGAACCAAGTCTAGCAAATGAGACGCTCTCTGTTAATTTTATATATAATTATGACTGTGGGCATCATCAACTTCATCCTCAGCATCAAAGAGAGGAGGCCAAGGTACTCCCCTCTCTCAACCAAAAATCAACATCTGCTGTAGGAACAAACAGAAGGTTCTGCTTGATACACACATGCACTTAGATGCACACACGCAGACATACACACACATACACACAACACTCACACACACCCAGCTACAGGAGCCTGGGGGACACAGTTTGAGAAGCCAGATCTCCAGACAAACACTTACCACTGCCCCTCTGTGTCTCTTTCAATCTGTCCCCTTGGAGAAGTGACAGAAGGCTTTTTGACATTCGTTTGGGGCAAGCACCCAGTGGAAAATGTCTGGGAGGAAAGAGAATGTCAAGACGAGGGAAAGCAAAGGAAAACAGCTCCGACCGAGCTGTACAAGCTGTTGCTGTCACTATCTGATCATCCAATTTAATCCTCTGAATGTGTTCAGAAATAGTTTATCTCTGGTCTTGAGTTGAGAAAAGTGGGCCTGGGAAAAAAGCTTACTGACCCGATACAAAGGGTAGTAATGGGATCCTCTGATTAGAAGCTATCTAAGCAGGATCCCAACCCAGAGTGGTGATTCCTCCGGGTGCCTGTGTTCCTGTGTACACAGGGCCCCCAAGTCCCCAGAGGACTCAGCCTCCAACTCAAGCTTCCACAGTGCCTGCCCTTTCTCTTCTACCCCAACAAATCAAACACACAAGTTCATTTCTACCCTTGAAACCTTGTTTCCGACCATCACAAAAGAAACTAAACTGCCTTAAGAAAATGTGGACTCTAAGACCAGAATAGGCAAAAATACCAGATAAGCAAGAATGTCTTTCTACCAGAAACAAGGAAGCTATCAAACATTATCAGAGATTACAGGATTTGTGTCAAAATGGCTCAGGCATCTGCTTGAATAGACTCCCACTGGTGTAATTGAAGTCTCAGTGAGAGCCCCCGTCCTTTGTGAGACATCAAAATGTTTAAATCCATGAGTTTATCAGGGGAGGCAAAAAATAAAATAAACCCCATTGGTCACCTCTGGGGTGCTGGGAAAATACCACTTGGTTTTTAAAAAATTGCAAATAAAGGAAAAGAATCAAGCAGGTTTCTACCTACTCATGTTACCACTGGTAACCAACTAACATTTGAGGAGAAATGTGGCTTTCTAGGGGAGGTATGGCTGATGAATAGAATGGATAATGGCTTCAGCAGTTTGTAACAGCTGATGGGGAACAGATGAGGCAGGATCAGGGGAACTACATGGCAACAACTAGACCAGGTATGACACCTCCTGATAGATGAACATACTACCTGCCTCCATCATGGCTGTGACAACAATCAGCCAAGACCTAATCAGAGGAGCTTGCGGATCTGTTCTACTGCTAGTTAACAGGAGAGAGAGAGAGAGAGAGAGAGAGAGAGAGAGAGAGAGAGAGAGAGAGAGGAACACAGTATATGACACCACGCATTCACCATGCATTCCATGAAATCAGACTATGGGATATCTATCAGGTCTGTGACCCAGTTCCTTTGGGAAATGTATTCCAAGATAATATGTATATAGGCATGATGAAGTGAAATTTATAGAGACTTGGGAGAATATAAATCACAGTATATACAGACCTGCCTTGTTGGGTCACAATGCACCCAAAAATCTGTTTATGAGACATCAAGGAAATTCCAAACCCGATAAAGTACTTGTGAAATTAAGATATCAATGTTTTTTTAAAAAACAAATTTGACTTGAGGAACTGATTTATAATACTTTCATTTGTTTATTCGGGGGTCACAACCAGGGATTCCCAAAACTGAGTCCTGACTCTGTACTCAGGGACAATTTCTGGTTGTTCTCACGGGACCAAAAGGGGTGCCAGATTTTGAACCCAGGCCCACTGCATGCAAGACAAGTGACCTACTCTCTACATTATCTATCCATCTCCTGGTTTACTTTTAATGATAGTTTCAGGCATTCGAGTTTCCACCAGAGTATCTGCTCTTAATATGGGTGTGTATTGATGAGCTATTGCTGCCTAACAAAAAATAACCCCAAAATGTAGAAGAAATATACACTTGTTTGTTTGCTCATGTTCTGTGAGTACCTGAGTGGGTAGCTGTCAGCTGGAATAGGGCCCTCTGTGTTCCACCTGGTGAAGATGGAATCCTCAGATGTATAGTTCTCAACAGGAGTAGCTGTGCCTATCTTTCTCTCATTCCACCTGGGGTCTCTTTCTCAGAGGCTGAGTCTGGAATCTGGGCATCTTCCAATGATAGAGGAAGCATTTAAGAAGAACAAGGTCTTTCATGGACAAGTTTTCTGCCTGGATCTATATTTAATGTCAACCCTATTGGCCAAAAAAGAAAATCATTTAATCCAGCCAAGATTCCATGCAAGGGGCAGTGATCCCAAGGCCATAAGCCTTCCATAGTTCCTGGAGATCGCTTCTAAGTGCTCAACACTGTGTGATTGTGGTATGTGGTTATGGTTTGAAAAACAGTTACATATGGAAATGCATAGCAAAATGTTTTTATGCAAAATGCAAAATGATATGCTCCAAAATACCTGGAGATGGGAGGGAGGGACTGTGTGGGTGTGGAGATGATATAAGATTGGCCATGAGTTTATTGAGGCTGATTGATGAGTACACGGTGGTTTGTCATATTCTTGTCTGTTTTTATATATGTTTGATATTGTTAATGAGGTCAAGTTCTCTACCTAAAATTGTCTCTCTCTGTGCCAAAATCAAACCCAAGACTTCACACGCGCAAGGCAAATGCTCTACCACTGAGCCACATCCCTGGCCCCAGATTATCTTTTTAGTTGTTGGTCAAATTCCACCACTAGAATAACCCAAGGATAATAACCACCTCCCACCCCACCCCCACTGCATTGCTGCAACTATGGAGATGCCCTGCCTCCCTGCTTCTCAAGCCAATGAGGAGGCAGCCCATGGCACATTTTCCGGACACTCTGCTTCCTTTCCCTCCGGAGAGTCATGCGATATGGAACAGCTGTGAAAACAGCCTT